TAAAGTTTCAGTTTAAAGTGTTTGTTCTGTGTCCCTTCTGGTATGTTGGGTATTAATATGTCCTCTACAAATCTGAGTTACCAGTGAGGATATGGGAGCATCATCAAATACACTTTACTCTTAATATTAGCAATTATAAGTGAAATGTAATTCCAGTGAGCATATGCCCTGCATATCAGATACCTAATATGATATTACCCTATTACCCAAATGCATTCCATATTGTGAAAACAGAGAGCAAACGACCAAGAATGTATTTAGAAAACATTTCTGACGGGCTTATACAGAGTTCCCGGGTGCTGAAACCAGGATGCGACCAAATGGCTAAATGAAGTCTGAGGCATTTACCAATTGAGACATAATCTCAGTGAGATAAAAATGCGTACAAACAATTTCACAGGGAGAAATGTGGACCAGCTTTGAAAGAAGCTAGCTCAACTTAAGATTGTTATTACGTAAAATACTGATGCTGCTAGTCACCAAATGCTCACATTTGGTCCATAACTAAACCAGCTGAGCCTTGGGAGGAATAGAGGCTGAGACTTCAAAATCCCTATCATTGGACCTTCAGTAAGATGTGTGTGTGTGTGTGTGTACATATGTATGTATGTATATATGTATATATGTATATTGCATTTGTGAATAGGTGACATGTATTAATAAGAGAGATATATAGTCAGGGAAGTTCCTGAATAGTTGGTTAAATAGTATGTCATTGAGAAGGGCAAAGTTGGGGTTACTCATGGTGTTTATAGTATGGCAGTGACTAACTGTGGAACCTCAAGAATTTTTAGTTCCTTGTTTCTCTGCTAGCTCAGTCTTAGGTCGCAGTAGCCTCATCCTCCTGCATCAGTGTGGGCATTGAATGAGCATCCTTATGCACAGCTCTTAACACAGTATCTGAACTACAGTAGAGATGAGAGATGAAAGAAGGCATTCTAACTGTTATCAGAATGAGAAAAGGCTTGTTTCATTCCACTATGTGATGTGCTACATAGCCATAGTTGACTGAAATATTTCCCTGTGTGCCAGCACTGTTCTTCCCCAGTAAGTGTGTGAGTCCTTTATCCAGACGGAGATATACTCGTGGATTCGCTTGAGTTTCAGCAAACACTTTGGAATTGTTGTCTATCTAGTAGTTAAATCAGTATATCTATTGTACGATTTACGAAAACAAATAGTGTTCTGATTTTTAAATCTTGGTAATGTGGTAGAAGTGAGACAGGGAAGGAGAGGTCACCTCCTCTAGGGCATTCTTTTATGCAGAAGCTGAAGTTCCTTGAAATCTGATTCTATTGCTTTTGCTGATGCCGAAGGTTCTGACTGGATGGTACTGTGAACATTCTAAGATGCTTGCTTTGGAAGCCTGTAAGAATTTGCTATAAAGACATAACAATAGTCTGGTGCAGTGCATCCCTAACCACTCATCAGTCCCTGACATCACTTCACAATATGACACAGGTGCAGGACTGAGGTCTCTTCACCCACAGCCATCCATATCCTGAAGAAGATACGTATATTTAAACAAATATGTCCTGTACCATCAGAGAACAACACAAATATCATTAGTAACTTTCTATTTAGGGAGTGAAGTCTAATACAGAAATTAAACAGCTCGGTATGGATTGGACAGGCCTTTATTATTCCAGTTGACACCCAGCCAGAAGGGGAGACAAAGTTGCATCAGGGGTAGGAGTGCAGGGTGTAGAAGATGGCCCAGTTACCTCCACGGCATGAATGTCTGCAATACTGTCTCTGAAGACCTGTCCTTCCTGTTGCACCTCAATTCTGAGTGTGGGGAGGTGTTTAGACCAGTCACCTCTGTACTCATATGACTTCTGGCAAAGATAAATATGTGTTGGAGTACTATGTGATCAGTCTCACTTGGCATGTAGAAATACCCAAGGGCACATTCTTATTAAGTTCACTTCGATTTTTACAGGAGTCAACTAACAAATTTTGTGGCACTTTTTGCATTAATTGATAAAATTCACTCAAAGGAAATAAGCTGTATACACTGTGTATGAGTGTATATATATATATATATATATATGAACAGTATAAAATGAATATATATATATATATGAACAGTATAAAATATAATTGTGATGAACTTATAATATCACAATGTTGATTACAATGGAAGTTGCACCACAACACCAAAATTGGTGGTGGTACAATATTATTTACTTCTTGGGAATCAATGGAACTATCAATCCATCACAAATACGTCTTCAGTGCGATCATAGCAAGACATGTTTGACAGCAACTTCAAATTGTCAGAGCCTATTACATATTTAAAATCTACAGTCAGCTGACATCCTGTGTTTCTTAGTCACTGAATAAATCTGTGAATGGTTTTGCAGGGGAATATTGCCGGTACTGTGTGATCACGAAGTACCACGTCACCTCCCCCAGTGCCTCCCTGGTGATCGAAGACGCGGGGGCTCTCAGGGCTTTTATGTCTGTTGAGTGGGGTTAGAATCCTGCGTGCAGAGGTTAACAGGCTTCATGTGTGTGTGCTGCGATGTATCTGCCCTAATTATCAATTACTACACCAATGGAAAGAACTTGGCGGCGGAGGCTCTGCTCCCCCAGCTGTTTACATTGTGGTTTATGGTGTCGCTTATGGCTGTGGCTGGGCATGGTCCTGGAAAAGCAAAGTGGAACTGTTCCCAAGGAAAACAACTTCATTGAAAAAATAATAAAAAACCATGGGTATTTTTTCCACTTACATGAATCTAAAATACACATTTTGACTCGAATATTTGTAGAATTTCAAGATCAAAAATGGAAAAAACATTGTGAAAACATAGTGATTTAAATGTGCTAAATGGACCATGGACCCAGTCAGGTTTTCATGACTCACCAGCTTTTAACTTCAAAACTCTGGCTAGTTTGCCTTTCTTAAACTCGTGAGTTTATCCCAGCTAGTGGGACAGTAGTTAGGGTATACCAGCTGTAAATTGGTCCAGAGCACTAGAAGGGACATTAGCCCCTAATCAGATTCTAACAGTTCTTTAAAGCTCCCTTTTCTGCACTCCCTGTCCCCTCCCGGCCTGGCCCAGGCTTCCTCTCACCTCCTAATCTGGGCAAGACCTGCTTCAGGGTAGGAAGCAGTGTCCCCTCATCCCTCACTGTCTACCAACCCAGCAGCCTTGAAAGGCTTTGTGAAGGGAGATTCCCAGAGCTCTCGGGAGAAGCTGGCTGAGTGGTGGAGAGCCGCCTAGCTGCAGCAAGACATCCCCCAGAGCCGCTGTAGCAAACAGGGGACAAGTGACAAGTCTGACAATGGTGCCTCACTTATGCATTAACAACCTCAGGCCTTGGAGAAGAGATTTCAAGTTTGGAATAAGTTAATTGAGTTCACCAGCAAGGCTTGGCAATATTGTAGCTGCTCTTGTCGGGATCTGCTAGGATGAGAGATACCCCCAACCAATACAGACAATGTTGTTCATTCCCAAGGGGAAGATTGGACAGGAAATTGTAATAGTCAAGGGGGTGTGAACTTTTCAATGCTTCTTATGACTAACTATGAAAATTGGTGTATGATTTTTTCTTGTTGCTTTCTCAGAGAAAATATTTGCATAAGAGAGGACCTCTAAGTTCTGCTTCTGAGAGGCTCTCCTAGAGAGTCAGGAACTGAAGTCAGGAGCGCTTCACGAGCCATGCTGTGACAGTTGCTAATAACATAGCCTCCTGGGATTTGTTGGAGATTCTGTTGGCCTGTTTTCATGAAAATCAGCTGCCTGAAAAGTACTAACATCAAACTCTGGAAATTATACTTCCCTTTGTCACCCCCAAGACAAATATTTAGGAACTTCTATATATATATATATTAGCACACACAGAAATTTTGGCATAATAGCCAACTAACAAATTTTGTGGTACATTTTCCACTAATTGATAATATTCACCCATAAAAAAACAAGTTATACATACGTGTGAGAGTATGTTTTTTATTTGTCTAGTCTACATTCATACATGTACATCTATAATGCTTCTATTACCCGCACACCCGTACATAGATGGATGCCCACTTTGTAAGATCTCTTTAGTGTCCTGTCACCTCTGTAAGGCCATTGAGCACAATGACTACTCTGAAGCCACAGGCTCAGTCACATCGGCTTCTGAGTTTAGCCAGTGTGTCAAGTTGAAATTGGCAAATTCGAAATGTATTTTATAATGCATCTTATCTGTGCCCTGCGTGTGTGACTATATGATTACCTTTGTAGATGGCTGATTTAGAATATGCCTAGAGCAGAGAGAATTTGTAAAATATAAACTTGATTTAATCTTCTCATCAACACTCAGGAAACTGTGGAGCCACGGTTTCAATGTGGCTTTCCTTTCAGAGGTAGTGGACTGTGCAAAACATCTATGAGAGTGATAAAAAAATGTTTCCTATTGGTGACTCTTAGCTATTCACTTTTAAATTAAGACTTGGCTGTTTTAAAATAGTTCCTTGGGAGTTGATATGTAGAGATTTTCATTTTCTCGGAACTGGCATGGTATAAAAATTAAGCAAATCTAGGACTGTATTACTTTGTCTTTAGATTATTCAGACTTCAAGAGTATAAAGATTATTTTTATCTGCAGTTTTCATTTATGGATGCCTGTATACAATGCAGCCTATAGAACTAAGGACGAGAGAAAGAAATGTGCCTTGTATTTCCTCCCACTATTGAGAAGGAGCTATAAATTTTCCAGCCCCATATAAATTAATGTAATGTTTCCACACTGCAGTTTATTACAGCCTGACCTCCAACCCAGAGGTCAGAGAGTCACATTGATTCAGTCAATGTCCTAGTCATTATTTCAAATGGAAGTTCACATAGGGGGATAATTGGTTATGCTGATATTCCCATTTAATTATGTCTCATTCTTACAGAATTAGGTTAGCCGTGCTGAAGGCATGGCAATGAAGGAAGACTACCTGAGAGTGTCCTCTTCTGGTCCTTCAGAACTGAATCTTCCTCTCTCTTCTCTTTTCTTCTCAGAATCTCCACACCCTTGAGAACAGAATGCTAATGCTTGATGGGATGCCGGCCGTCAGAGTGAAAACAGAGCTTCTGGAATCTGAACAAGGGGTAAGCAGAGATCTCCATAGATGTCCCCTCCTCCCCATGCCTGGTCCATTCACTTCCAGAGCAGCGTTCTCTCTCTGTCCCTCGCCTAAGGAATTGACTCTCACGCTCTTGCAACCTTAGACATCAGCCTCTTTGGAGGGGACAATGTTCTGAAACTAGGACCTCTTGCTGACCTTAGGAGACACCTATGGCTGAGTTAAAATTGCTGCCTGGAAAGCCACTGAGACCAAAGTAAGGGGAAAATGTTTAAAATGAGATGGGAATAGAATTCCTCCATGTGAAGTTCTAAGTTAGGAGATGACTGAGAACAGGCATGGGAGCATTATTGCTGGTTTAATGGATTTCTTTTTCCTTCTTTTTTGTGTATTTGTATCTAGCTTTCCACCCCATTGTTATAATTTTACCAGTTCTAGGAGATGGTTGGTAAAATTGGGACAGTTATTGTGAAAGGTACCCGAGAACAAAAGAAACATGATTTAACAAAACATAGCTAAACCCATGAATGAATGTATGGATACAAAAACAGAGTGTCAAGAACACAGACTTTGTGTGAGGATACATAGGTTATTACCGAAAACATTTAAAGCTTCATTAATCAAAATCACAAATTCAGTATAATGGTTACAGTGATGTCAACCATGGTATTTAAAGAAGAAATCACTATATTCCTGTGTACACACTGGCTACATACCTTATAACATTGACACCATTTAAGCAGCACAAAAAGTTAACCAAAGAACATAAATCAGTCTATAATTTCTGCCTCAGCAAAGTCTGTCCTAATAAAAGAAATTAATACTAAGCATCAATAATTTTGTAATTGAGAGATCCAAAGAAATTTTTAATGTAAATTAGCATCTCAGAAATATAGGATTGAAATTAGTGTGGCTAAGTCCATGTGGGATCCCCCTGGGTCTGAATGACTTCAGGTTTCATTGTCGTTGTAATGGCTACAGAGGCTATGCACCTGTGGTAGCCCCTGAGTTCTCTTCAGTTACTTCCACATCCCTTTGCATTACTTTGCCGTCTGTGACATCACAGTGTTATTTCTCCTTCTCAGTGGAAGCCTGGGTTTGAAACAGGTCTCTATTCCAGCAGAGGGTGGCTCCTCATCTTTATATGTGGCACTGATTTTTTGTTAAGTCTGAAAGGAAATGTGTAGAGAATGTCCAACACTTACAATCCCCGGTCTCTATGCTGGAATAAGGACTTCTCGGTGCTGAGAGAGTAGAGCATCGAGAAAGGAAAAGAAGACACAGTCGCCAGTGCTCGAAGACAAGCATCCATGTGCTCATCTGTGCTTTCCTCTCAGGCTCATTAGGCTAACCTTCCTGAACACCCAGCGCGTGCAGTCAGCTCTAACCTTGATTAACGAACCTAACAGCAGGAAGGTGTCGCCCTGTTTCTTTAGCAGTCTGCTGTCTCAAGTCATTTCTTAAAATCTTAACTCTTGTCACAAGTCTAGTAAAATTAATCTCTGTGTGATCCCTCCGTATCATAACATAGGTAAGAGAGTCTTTTCTTGCCGATAGGGGAGAAAAGGGCAAACGGCAGTCTGTATTTCCCAGCATCTGTTTTATCCCATCAAATTTTCTTCAACATGAACAACAATAAATCAGTTGGAACCATACATGTAAGAGAAAAGGCAAAAACTACAGAAACCCATAAGCCACGGTGTGGACTGGGGGTCATTGTCACCAGCCCAATAATCTATAACAATATCCAGGGACTTCAATCTACTTTTTGGTCATTTTTCACTTTCAAGGTAAGCTTTGCATGAAAGACTCAGGGTTTTTCTGGAAAGGAAGACCTGTATCCACCCAGTTTTATAGTGAGGAGCAATTGTATGTCACATGATTTATAGAAAGTTCTGTTTCCCTTAAATATGGATAGAAAAAAACTTGCGGGTTCCTTTAAAATCAATTTTCTTCTTTGTGAGTAGAGCTGAGGTTGCTCCCCTAACACTAATTTAGACTGCATGTGGTGGAGGGAAGGAAACATCACTTTTCTATGACTCTGTATGTATTTCTGAGTTACAGGTCTGGCATCATCCTCTTTTCTTCTTCGGGAGAAAGTCTCAAGAGAAACGGCCAATAGTGTTTAGTGACATGATTTTGACTGCAATACAATACTTTGTAGTACTTTAAATCTCCTCAGAAATAGATAAAATCAGCTGGGTTGTGGTGGTGCACACCTTTAATCCCAGTACTCAGGAGGCAGAGGCAGGCAGATCTCAGTGAATTCAAGGCCAGCCTGGTCTACCGAGTGAGTTCCAGTCAAGGCTACACAGAGAAAACTTGTATCAAAACCAACCAAACAAACAAACAAAAAAATGAAATTTAAAATTTTAGTGGTTTTCCTTTTAGGACACTTTACTGTATTTTTCACCAGATATGATCGGCCAAATTGTATGTATACTGTATGACTTCTGAATCCCAGACATGTAAACAAAGACTGCTCTTTTGTTCCCAGCTTCCCAGACCTGAATAATCACATAGAAACTATATTACTTACAACATTGTTTAGCCAATAGTTTAGGCATATTTTTAGCCAGCTCTTACATTTTAAATTGACCCATTAATTAATCTATTATTAATCTATTAATCTATGTATTACCAAGAGGCTATGACCTACCAGTAAGGTTCCAGTATCTCTCCTTCAGCATCTACATGATGTCTCTCTGACTCCATCTACTCTCTCTATATATCTCTGTTCAGATTTCCCACCTGACTTAGTCTGCCAAGCCATTGGCCAAAACAGCTTTATTCATTAACCAATAAAAGCAAAATGTATACAGAAGGACATCCACATCACAGACATATTTTTAGAGAAAGAAAGTTAGAATTTTGAAGATTTCCTAAATTTTCTTGATTAAAAGTCATTTGACGTTTAATCATAAAACATAAACATACTAGAGAAATTTAAGTGAATGACTGCTTGCCCGTGTGGTTATGGAATCTTGTCAACATTTCAACATTTATTACTTACTGAGGACAAACACTGAGGAAACTCTTCTATATTCTAGCAATGGATAAAGAAGCATAAAGTTGGTACCTTCATCAAATTTTTAATTTCCTGTTCATGATTTTGGCCTCGCTTGCTCATATATTCCTTTGTCCCTCTCTTCAACTGGATTCCCAGAGCTCAGTCTGGTGCTTGGCTGTGGATCTCTGCATCTGGCTCCACCTTTTACTGAATGAAGGCCAGTAAAAGATGATAGTTGAAATAGTCACCAATCTGACTACAGAGGAAGGCCAGTTGGACCAAGCTCATGGGAACTCAGGAACTTTAGACCAGCAGCTGTAGAACCTTGAAGGACCCAGCTAGGCCCTCTGTGTGTATAACATGGTCTAGGTAAGGACCAGGATCTATCCTTGGGGCATGAACTAGCTTGTCAGAGCCCATCCACTATGTTGGGATGCTGTGCTCAGTCTTAATGCAGCAAGCTTGGTCGTGCCTCAACTTAATGGGCCAGGCCTTGTTGACTCCCTTACCCTTTGGGATGAATGGGTGGGGAATGGGTGAGGGAGTAGAAAAGGTAGGCAGGAAGAGGGATGGGAGAGAGAGCTCTGGTTGAAATGTAAAATGAAATTTAAAAAAAATTTCATTTAAAAAAGATACACATATTGGTTTTAAGTCTTTTAAGGAAGAAAATGGATTTTGTTTCATTTTGTTTTTCTTTAGGCAACATGTTAGAGACTCAGCATACACATTCTGCTTCATGTACCGTGGCTGGCTCTCTTATTTCTCTCCTGTTGTTGTAAACAGTCCCTTAGGTGTTCTCCTGCTATTGCTGGTCCCTGTCTGGCTCCCGTCCCTCCAGGGACTCAGTGAGCACATTTCAAGGGCCTAAAGGAAGATGTGGTGGGTAACTGGGCTGGGGGAGACTGAGCGTGATTGGCAGGCCTGGTTAATAAGTCGAATAAGCACCTGAGATCCTTATCTGATTCACCTTCGTGTCTTTGCATCTTCCCTTCACAGAAAAGCTGTTTCATGGGTGTTTGACATTCGCAATGCTCTTTTTCTCTCCCCTTGGCCCTTTCAGATCTCAGAATATCAAATAACAAAATTGACTATGGTTAAGCATTTCCCCTGGGAAGTTCTGTGTGCCATTCACTTAAAGAATTATATGTGTAGATTTTGATTGTGTTTTTGGGTCAGGATGGAAGCTCCTACAGGGCAGGGGCTATTTCTTCTCTGTCTTCTTTATAGCTCATACTGGTTCCCAGTGCATGACATGTGCTCAATTAATATGTGATTCATCCACTGCCTACCTATTCTAACCAGCATGTTATATATCTATCGCCAGTCAACAGTTTGCTAGCCTTCTTTGTCTACCTCATATGGTAAAGTGAATATTCACATGGAATTACAAATACTGGACACTCATATTCTAAGAAGTAGCCGAGGTCTTTGTCTTGTAGCCACGTGAACTGAATAGGAACAGCCACCTATAGGCGCCAGCTCCCTCTGTTCCGAGTTCCCAGGCTCAGCCTTTCAGTGATGTCAACGATCAGCCCACCCTCCTGTGACGTCAGCTTCCTTCAAGGTTGCCCTGAGACAGGACATGCTGCTGAGCAGTCTGTGGCAAGGGAGTGTGTTCTTCTGATGCACTTCAGGTGCACAGCCAGAAATGAGGGAATGACTTCGCCCGTCCATGACCTTGGTGTGTACACCCCGCTGTTAGGAGAGCATTAGGGAAGCTCCCAGCCTTTGGATGTTCTAACATGTTATTAAGCAAAGGAGGACAGCAGGAAGAGAGTTCTAGAACTACCACACTAGAGGGGAGACTGAGTGCAGAGAAAGAGACTGCCTCAAAGACATAAAATGTGACTTTATTCCTGGCCCCGCAGTTTACCAGCCTGAGTGACTTTAAGCGGTTCCTTCTCATCTCTGGACTTCTCTGTCCTCATCTATGTAGCCGGGGTGCTGCAGGGGATATCCTGCTTCCCAGGCTTCCTCTGATATCCTATGATCTGAGAAGGTCAAGGGGTAAGGGG